CCTGTGTGTTTCAAAATTTAATCAGAGCAAAAGCATGCATTTATCTGTGGCTAGCTTGGGCGATAATGAAGCAAGAGAATAATAAAATTCCCAGTGTAGCAAAGCTGCCAACCTAAATGAAATAAATAAATATGTAATATATTTAACAGGGAATCTGTAAGAATTTTGAAATTTACCCTGAAATTTGCATTCAAATGATCGCGTAAAGACGCAAAAAGACGTTAAATTATTGATTAGCATAGCATACAGATATTTGATTAATACCAATATAAACCTTACTGACTTAGGATTATTTATCTGGAACTTATTTTTACATTTTACCAACGGATGCAATTTTCATTGATAAGTTACAGGAAATTTCGCTTGAATCCATTCATATATCCTAATGCACGCTATGAAGACACTATAAACAATAAAATTATTACAATTCCCCATCAATTAGCATAAAAGTAAATAATCATTTGAGATAAATACACAAATTACTTGTGTAAATTTCTATTTCATGTCTAAACCTTTGATCGAATTGCATTAAAAAAATTAAATATGCTTGAGTAGATCTTGAGTTTTTTTATTTTGTCACACAGTTTGCGTTAACTGGTGACTGCTTAAATCAGAGTTTCGACAAACGAAGTTTTCGCGTTCATATCAAGATCAGCGTCATACAGAATATCTTAAACGTGCTCAAATAAGGTTTAAAATTAGCTCAAGTTCTTGTGTAGTTCTTATACGAACTGCAACTATAGTTTTTTTATCATTTACACCAATATGCGCGAAGGCTATCGGCTTAAGAGAGAATTCTTTCATTGAGGATTTTGAAAGGGAAACTAGATCACACCCATGTTGCACGGGAGAAAAACTATGAAAATCCCATATGGCTAGCCTGTTCGTTGAAAATCGGTTATCATTTAGATCGTGGCAAAGACTATCTGTCTGAGGAAATGGATGCCTTTTTAAGGGAAGCCAGCGTGTATTCATTCATTCATTCATTATCACTATTGCCGGAATATTGCTGTTTTTACGCAACGTGTCCGGCTTTTGACACATTGGCCAGGAAGGCGCATAACGGTGCAATGTCAGGGCCAGGTAGCAGGAGGATTGGAATTGGGAAGAGGATGGTGACTGCAGGAACATCACAAGTGGAAAAAAACGAGCAGACTAAAGCCGACGACCATGAGAGGCGAAGACAAACTGGATAATCTGATTTGTAAAGTGTGTTGTTCATGAGGTGGCGTGGTGGTGGTGTATTTAATGGCAAAGCACACTAGAGCTATCTGCCTAAGGGAGGGATGCCTTCGTGGAGGACTTTCTAAGGAAAACTGGCTCGTATATACGTTACACAAGGGGAAAACCACGAAAACACCCATGCAGCCAGCCCGTTCGCGGGATTCGAACCTCGAACCGAACTACCAGTGTTCAGAGACTTTACCGCTCGGCCGCTGGTGAGCCTGTTCATGACGAATAAGTAGGGAATAAGACTATACATATGGGGAATAAGTACAATACATAATACATTTTATTAAGTACAAGAAATAGTAAGATACATGATAAAAATGCAAATATGGTGCCAAATACATTGTAAAATAAGTTAGAAAAATAAAGAAACCTATATACATATATACAATGAAGTTGCACTCTTAATCTGATTATGAAGTAATAGTATTTTCTTACACAAGTAATTTGTGTAAGAAAATTCGAGTTACGGGTGAGGAAGGCCGCGAGTGGTCGGATGTTTGAGTTCTCAGCAAAGGCAATGCAGTGGAAGACTTTGAATAGTTGCAGATGCGAGCAGTTTCTTGCTTTCTCGAAGAAGTCTTATTCGATTTGTGTAGAAATTCTTCTATGCTATCAAATCGTAAATCCCTGTGAAGGGTCTTATTAAACACATAGAAATGCACGTTGGTGATAATTCTAAGGAGCTTATTTTGCGTAATTTGAAGTTTCTTGATATCACTTTGAGAGTAAGTCACCCAGGCAGGGGAAGCATAACAAAAGATTAGCCTGATTATCGCCGTATATATATGACGTTTTCTTTTCAAGTCCAACTAGAAAATTTACCTATAAGTGGTGTGATAAGGTCGCATAAATCTACGACGAATGATTTCAAATTGCAAATTCAGAGTTCAATATGCGTGATGAAATCACGGGATTAAATATAATTATTTAATTGTTATTAAAATAATATTAAGTTGTAAAAAATAGTCGTTATTAAAATAATATTAAATTGCTGGCAATGTTAAAAAAGCAGGCTCGAGAGCCACGTATGGCTCTCGCACGCATTGATGTATAGAATTTGAATTTGTTTAAAAAATATAAGGTTTTTCTCTCTGTCAGAATTGTATGTAGCCATTCTTTTTAGGACATTCAATAAATTTTTTATGCAGTGTTCCATCAATAGAGTTTTCAACCTGGAATGTCTACAATACACCAGGGTTTGCATAGCGGTTTCGGCCACTACACCACAGCAGTAAATATTAAAAGTTGATGGCAGCTTTTAGGGATTGTTCCTGAGAGTAAACTTAGGAACGGACTTTTTCGCCTGTGAACTTGAGTTTTATGTGAACAGTCAAGACTTTCTTCTCTTCAAGAACGATTTAATTTTGCGTGCAAGGACAGTTCGCGTGGTGAAGCCTCTGCAGTCACAAGAGACAGTGTGTCAGAAGGGAACGCCGGAGGAAGCGTGAGCTAGTGCCGCAAAATAGTGAAATTTCCCGGAAGAATATCCAAGTAGTGCCAGGAGAGTCAATCGAAGGCGTCTTCAAAATTGGTGAGTACCATTTTTGTGATTTTGGAGAAGTTATGCGAGTTATTCGAGACTAGGCTTATTTTGGATATAGAGCAGGAAAAGATTGCCTCTTAATTAGCATTTTTTTATATATGCTTTGTTTGTAGGCATAGGTATTGTCATTAAGTGTTTAAGGCAATTTGTGTTCAGAATTGTTAGGGAATTATTCAGTTTTGGAGAGATAGACCTGTTGTTGTTGTTTTTGTGTATTGTATTTCGAGGTAGGTTATTTTTCTTTAATTTTCCATAATGGGTGAGTTTATGAGGAAATTTACTAAAGCTGTGCTATTGGAGTTAGTGGAGGAGTTTGAAACAAATGTGTCTCAGGCAAATAGAGTAAGAGAAATTAGGCAGGCTATTCTAAATGCCGAGGACTATGAAGAAGAAGCTGAGGACTATGAAGAAGAGAGTGTATTTAGAGAATTGTTTGGATTCAGTAGAAGTTCAAGATTTTGAAAGTCTTAAGTCTAAAGTCTTAAGGAACTTGCTCAATGAGCAAATTAAGCGGCGAGTCCCTCTAGAAATAAGAGGGCACTACTTAGACAATTGGGAAGAATTTAAAACAGCTTCCATTTTAGCAGAGAAATGCGACAAGTATGAGGCTTTGCGAAGAGATACGAGGAAGTTAGAACAGAGAGCGAGGTTAAAAAAACCGTTTGAGAAAGATAGAGAGCGGTATATAAATTTTAACTGTAGTTATAATCAGAAAAGTAGTGGTCATCAAAGAATTAAATCAGAGGAGCATAGAAAAGTGAGTTTTGCTCCTAAAAAAAAGCAAGTTTTCAATGAAGCACGGTTTCGAGAAACAGAGGAAAATAAGGTGTTAACTAATGTGGAAAGGACGGACATTATTCCACCTAACTGTCCATCGCTGGAAAAGAATAAGGCTAATCTGGTGAATAATCTAGGAACGGAGAGTTTAGGGAAAATGTTTTGAGCCGTATTTCAAGAAAGCAGTAATTAATGGGATAGAGAGAGAATATCTGAGAGATACTGGAGCTGGTATAGATCTGTGTAATAGTTCTTGGATTAATACTAGTGACTTATTAGGCGAAACTGTATGGGTGAAACAGCCTTTGGACACGGAATGTAAATGTTTACCTTTGGCGAAAGTCACCATTGAAGGTGATTTTGGTTTGGTCACCACAAAGGCAGCGGTACTCCAGTAGAGTTAGATAAAGAGTACTATTTGTTAGGGAATAAAACTGCACAGTTGATTGAGGAAATTAGGGAACGACCAGTTCTCTTGAATGCTGTGGAGACTCGTATTCAGGCGCATGCGCGCAGAAGTTTAGAGAGAGCGAGTGCAAAAGACTTAGATTCCAGATCGGAAGAAAAGAAAGAGATAGAAAGTGAAAGGGCCGTCAATAATGAGCATTCGGAAGAAAGGAAGTTAACCAGTAATACGGAGGAGGCAATTAAAATGTCAGACATCAGTTTAGAAGAAAGGTCTATTCCTTGCGGATGTTTCGGCAGCAGAATTCTTGGAAGCACAAAAATCTTGCGCTAGTTTAGCAGACTCTGCTGGAAGAAAGGGGAAAGAGTGAAAATGGAAAAAGAGTGTATAGTCAATTGGAAAGACTATTCAGAGTGTCAGGTTCTAAAAAAGGGGAAGATAAGCGTTCAGCTGTGTGTGCCTCTTGCGTTTAAGGAAAAGGGATCTTGCTTGAAGTTATGCCACGAAGGAAATCTCTGGTCATTTAGGGGTAACAAAAACCAAGGGTAGAGTTTTGACACACTATTTCTTGGCTTAATTGCTTACCGGGAAATTGAAGAAGAATTTGTGAGGACGTGCGATATTTGTCAGCGTGTAGGTCACAATAAGGATAAAAAAGAAAGCCCCTATGAAGATTGTGCCTGTTATATCAGAAGTGTTTAGCAGATTAAATATTGATGCAATAGGACCTCTGATCCCTAGTTCGCGTGAAAATAAATACTTAATTACGTCTATTTGTGTTGCTTCCAAATATCCAGACGCCATTCTGTACAGAATTTAAACTCTAAATGTGTGATTCAAGCCTTGATACAAATCTTTTCTAGATTAGGTTACCCTAAGGAAATTCAGTGTGATTTGGGTAGATCGTTTACCAGTGAACTTACATCTGAGTTCACTGGTAAACGATTAATTCCGAACTTTTTTAGCAAGTTCGGAATTAAGGTGTATCATTCTTCTGTGTGTCACCCTCAAAACAATTCTGTTGAAAGGTTGCATTCCACCATGAAAAGGGTATTGAAGTATTTGTGCTTGGAAAGCGGGAAGGACTGGGAAGAATGTTTGCCATGTGCTTTGTTCGCCCTCAGAACTGTTAGCCATGAGAGCACAGGTTTTAGTCCTTGCGAGTTAGTACATGGAAAAAAATTGAGAATGCCTCAAACGATTGTGTATGAAAACTGGCTAGAAGAAGAAAGTTCAGACCCCACTGTGGTCGAGTATGTTCTAGACTTAATAAACAGATTAAAGAAGTGTCAGGAGCTGGCTGTAGAGAGGATGAAAGAATGTCAGAGTAAAAGGAAACTTTGGTATGATCACAACGCTGTTACGAGGTTTAAGGTCGGAGATCTCGTGCTTGTTTTAGCCACGTCTAAACCACACAAAATGGCTCTGAAATGGAGTCAGGTAAAGTAACTAGTGTGATTTCCGAAACCAGTTATACGGTAGATTCCAGGTAAGCGTAACAGTGATACCAATTGTCATGTCAATTTGATTGAACCTTATCACCAGTTCCCAGTGTTTGTGAATTTGATGAAAGAGGAAGGTCGTGGAGAATATCGAGAAGAGAAGTTGATATTCTTTTCTTATTCTTCTTCTGGCTTCTTCTTCTTCTTTTTTTTTTTTTTCTCCTGGCTGACAACGCAGAGTGATTTCAGGAAAATGATAATTGTTGTAAAAGATTTTTGTAGTATTTTTGTCAATTATATTTTTGTAGATTTAAAATTGTTTGCATCGTGAGTATCTTTTTCAGAATTGTTCAAAATGGTTAATTCAAATGTTTTATGTTAAGTATTAGCATTTTGTAAACTGAAAAGGTACTTTGTGTAGATTCAAAATTTAATTTTTTTTTTTTTGTATTGTTTGCATTTATGGTATGTAGAAATAAGTGCAGAGTGATGTAACTGGCTTCTCTATTATCACTTAAATGGATACCAGTTGTGTTTGAAAGCAGTGAAAAGTATTTAGAATTTCCTTCCATAGTCAGAAAATTCCTTTATGAGGGGAAAGTTGTGATAAGGTCGCATAAATCTATGACGAATGATTTCAAATTGCAAATTCAGAGTGCAATATATGTGATGAAATCACGGGGACTAAATATAATTATTTGTTATTAAAATAATATTAAGTTGTAAAAATAGTTATTAAAATAATATTAAATTGCTGGCAATGTTAAAAACGCAGGCTTGAGAGCCATGTATGGCTCTCGCACGATTGACGTATAGAATTTGATTTTTAAAAAAAGATAAGGTTTTCTCTCTTCAGAATTGTATGTAGCCATTTTTTTAGCATTCAATAAATTTTTTATGCTGTGTTTTTTTTTCAACCTGATGTCACAACCCAGGGTTTGCATAGTGGTTTCGGCCACTACACCACAGTAGGATGATATTTTTAATAGCTGTGGAGGCTTTGCATCTGGCGCTTTGGATGTAATCCTTCCAGTTGAATCTATTACCTTTTTGATTATTGGTACCTCTAATATCGAAAAATTTTATTTCTTGTCGATAGGTATTCTAGAATGTTTTTTCCGATGATGATAAGCTGTGACTTTTGTCTATTGATTGCGATTTTCCATTTTGTGCACCAGTGTTCGATTGCCTAGTGCATGTTCCTGGCTATGCAACTTAACAACCAGGGCCGTATGATCGGCATAACAACCCAGATATGAATTAATGTCACGTGTATTCACGCCGTACATGGGAAAAATCACAAAAAACGCTCATACAGTCAACCCATTTGTTGCATTTTGAACCGGTTCGAACAATCAGTATTCAGCAGTTTCATTGAAAATCGAAGCCGGCCCTAAATTACCAATGTTTATCATCTTATCCCTTTGGTGACAGATGGATATTTGAAATTCTTATATTTTGATCTAGTTTAAGATTTGAAACAAGGAATAGAAGAATATAAGTGAAAGTACATTTTTTTATCTTTCCCTCCTCCCGAAAAAGAAAACGGCATTTTTTAATGCTTTGATTCTCATTATCACTGAAATTACTTAAAAAAAATTACCACTTATGACAGTCTGATGCAAAGTTTAGTAAATCTTGCGAATAAAATACACTCTTAGCCTGTCTGAAGGAAGACAGTCAGGTCGGTATCACACCGCTGTCCGGGGCGTCTCCAGACTCGCCATCGCTGGTCATCGTGGCTCAGTTCAAAGCGGGACTCATCACTGAAGACTATTCTACTCCAATCAGTGACATTCCAGTGCGAATGAGCTTGACACCACTGCAAACGGGCTTGACGTTGTACATAGGTCAATGGTAGTTGGTGCAAAGGGTGCTGTGACCTTAGTCCCTTTTCTGTGAGCCGTCTATGAATGGTCCTTGCGGTCACTGAAGCACTCGTTGCACGTACAATCGATGATAATGATGCATCTGAGGCTATGAATGCCGCTCTGACGATTGCTCGGTCTTCACGTTCTGTTGTTTCTCTAGGCCTACTGCTTCCTTCTTGACGCTGTGTGCGGCCATGGTTCACCCATTACTGCCAACATCATCTAATAGTGGCATCGCTCCTGCTCGAATGTCGAGCTATTCGCCGATAAGAGCAACCGGCTTCTTTGAGTCCAACTACACGACCTCTCTCAAATTCTGACATCTGCGCATATCGTTCGCGTACCTGTATGCAAGGCATAGTTACTGTTTACTAGAGTACACGGAATGAAATTCGTGAAGAATTTATGATCTGGAATCATAATTTGTCCTTTTAAATATCTAGCCAGTTGCGCAGATCAGATGTGCTGTAGCGACAACCGTTCATTCATTGGCAGTCAAAATGTAAAATTTTGCATTTTCCGTCGAAACCTGTATGCATATCAATTTGTGTCAAATGCCTTTGATTGCGCAGAAAGTAGCATGAAAATTCATATGATGGGGGGGGGAATCATTTGTATAAAGCAAGAAGTAGAACAATTTCATGCAATCGCGTTCGCCCATATCGGCATATCAAATTCGCTTTGCTTTTCCGCGTTATATATGATATAAAAATAATCAAAAATCATACACAGGTAATAGTAATTAATTAAATTCCTGCCAAAATTACAAGGTATTGACGATTAGACAATTCACGAACTTATCCATATAAATCCATTCTTTAAAATACATCTTAAACTTTAGTTTGTTATGAATATACCACAGATACGTGTTGCTGTAACTCAAAAAATCAGTTTATTGACTAGTTATCAATGTACTTATTTACTTGTTTTTACTTCCTTGTACGAAGTAAAGGACATACTGCAATCGCGAAAAATTTCAGGTATCATATTTCAAGGGAAATTTTCATTTTGGCGTTCCCGAACCCATTTGGACGAAATTGTTTTTACGTGACGTTTGCCCGTACGAACAGAATAAAGGAGGATTATTTTGCTTTTTGTAAAATGGATTTAATAGGAATTCTTTAGGGACGTCTGTACTTATGTACGTATGCATGTATCTAACATAACTATTAGCAGTAGGACGTTGAAATTTTGTCTATAACATTGCTGTAAAATCTAGTTGCACTCTCCTTTTTTTTTTTTTACTGCAATCGGCAATATCAAACGTATATACCCCTAACGCGGCCTTTATTTTTGCAATCGTTCGCCGTAGTTGTGTACACTACAAAAAAAAAAAAAAGGGGGGGGGGAAGGACAGGTCTATACCTTCCGTTCTACTGGGCCTATCGACAAAATTCAACTTACGTTTTTTCAAGTTTCGAAAGTTCGACCTAGGATATATATTAGATTTATATATATCACTGTTCTAATACAGGAATTTTGACACAAAATAGGACTTTTTCTGAAATGGCATGCCAATTTTTTCCATATTTCGATTCTACGACTAAAATTATGCCTAACTATTAAATTTTGTAAAATTTCGTGTGAAATTTATGGAGAAATTCAAAACTTTATCTCGGCGCTTTTTTTTTTTTTTTAGTTTAGGCCAAAAATAATTCAGTTGGCGAACTTCATAATTTATAGCAACTTATTTTTCTTTCCTTTCTTTCCACTGTAAATGAACAGAAAAAAAAGTCCTCATTCACACTTTCAAATAATTTTAGCAAAGTGCGTAAACCACATTTGGCGTTATTATTGCTCAAAAAATGATGCCAAATTTCAAAACGCACCTATATGTAAATTCATGTATATCTTAGAAAATTTTGAATAAAGAACTCTAATTTTTTGTAGGTGTGACTAGAAATACGTTTACTTTAACAAGATGATAAAACTTTTATAGGTTATAATTCAAAATCTTTTTCAAAAAATTTGTAAAAAATTATTCAATCGGTCCAGTAGAACGAAAGATATAGAACAGTCCCCTTTCCCCCAGCAGAGTACTTCCAGTTACAGAAGTGTTTTAAATGACGAAAATATTCATATTTTGACAATGGAAAATTTAATAATAACAATTTTGACAAATAACGAAATCTAACTTTTAATGTAATCTTCGGATTCCTATACAGTACCAAGTCTGTAATCCGGATGTCCATTATCCGGAACGATATATAATCCAGACCTCAAAGCTAAACTTTTTTTTTGTATGCTTTACGCATGCACGTTTAGCACAAAAAAACGAAGCAACTTAAACAACTTGCATTAAAAGAAATGTTTAATAAAGTAAACAAATAAATATTAAGCTTTTTTTTGTAAATTTTGATACCTTTTAGATCATAATTGCTCTTTATTTCATAAATTACGATTTTATATTTTTAATTGTATAATTTCTGCATTCCATCTTACCAGATTTAAATTGATGATCTATAATCTGGAAAAACCCTTAATCCAGAATCACCGAAGTCCCCCACGAGTCCGTATTACGGACTTTGTACTGTACTTGTATCTGGGAACATTTTATACTCATTATGAACAACATAGTTAAGAAGTTTGACTCCAATTACGATAAACATTAAACGGAATATTTAATTTCAAAATTTGCAGGCTTCAAAGTCATTTTCGAAGTGCTTCGAGGGATCGGTTGATTCAGTTAGAATAATTCGAGCAAATAACTTTATAAATGAAGTGCAGCAAAAAGTATATATAATTTAATAGGCTGTAAGTTATGTGGTTTCCACATCAGACGTTTTACTTCTCCATTGTAAACTTTGCAAGCTTGTAGTGTGACTAGGCATTTATCGAAACAAGAAACGTAAAAAATATTTTAGGATGCCTTTGTTTGGATTCGAACCTAAACCTTACCATTGCCCATTGCAGACGTGTTTTCAGCTGTACTACGAAGGCAACAGATAAGCAAATAGGAAAATCCATTACATAGGGCGACTGAGGAGTCGAGATACAATCTTGAAATCCACATTCACCATGTTTTAGTTCAGGAGCCACCTGTAGAATGATCGGTTTCTTTTCTGGACTAAGAAAAGTGAGATAACCAAACATGAACTTGCTGGGAATCAAACTACATACTTTTGAATTGCCAGTCGGACATTCTTCCAATTATACCACGTAAGGAAGTAGAAAAATCCCTCTCAAGCTTTCTTCTTTTATTTTGTAACTTTAATAAAGGAAAGTCTTTTAATGATCGAGCTTAAAATTAATTACTAAATCAAAAGAAACAAGTATTGAATTTCTTTCTTTCTCGTAGTTCACAATAATGCTGGAAAATATGCGAAAAATGTCATTAATTTAAGTGCCACTTTTCATATATTTTTTATGTTAGACCTTTTTTTATGAATTTATATATATAAAGAAAAACTAAAAGCAAATAAACTTGCACAAGAAAATATCGCATACAAAAGTTAAAATTTGGCAGGGAAATGTTTACTTTTTGTAGACAGCAGAGAATGTTTTTGTTGGCCATCTGGTAATTTTATCATTCAAAATTGTTTGTTTTTATACAGAATGCATGAAATATTTTTTCCGTACTTTGTCTTTTTTTTTTTTAACTAATCTTTAATGTGTGTATAATGTTACGTGAGTAAATTTCATGTCTTGAAAAAAATAAAAAGTATTGTCATTTGAAGGAAATACGCGTTGCAATCCTCTTGAACACATATTACAAGCTATAAAGTTAAATGAGTCCAAAAAGCTATCCAGTGAACAGGTCCAACAAGCCATTCATTTAAATAAATGTACAGCTAACGTTTAATAATAAAATAATGTTAAGTATGTCCAACAACTATTCAGTTAAATTAATGCTCAGCTTTGTTTTAAATAAACTTTTTTAATAAACAAGTGCTCTGTAGCGTTAAGACGAAATAATATCAAAATATATTTTTTCCTATCAATTCACTTTTCATGTTGAAAAACTCAACTTTAAATAACGGAATTATGGAGCCTAGATGTCATCGGTATAAAATGTCCTGCAGAAGTAAAGTCAAGGCAAGTAACCGATGAAGAAACAGTATTTTTTCCCCGTAAAACTATTAAAAGAAACGAAGATAAAAGATATGAAGTATGTATGCCATGGAAAAAAGGACGTCCAGAATTAGGAATGAATAAAGAATTAGCCACTAAATGGTTAATGTCAACTACCAAAAATCTTATAAGATCTGGATATTTAAGAGAATATGATGATGTGTTTAGTGAGTGGATTCGAGATGAAATTATTGAAATTGTAGAGAAAGTCGAGAAAAAGGGACACTATTTACCACATCATCCTGTGATAAAAACTGGTGTAACAACAACAAAAATTCGTCCAGTGTGAGAAGCATTACACACTCATTTACATTAAAATGACAAAATAAATGATAAAAGTGAAAGCTAAAAAGACATAACAGAACATAAAAAAACACAATTTATTAGTTTTTTTTTTTTTTTACTTTTAAATTTTCAGTTTTTCAGTGCACTAAATAGTTCAGATATAATACAGCTTCTTACAGATTATAAATAATGCAGTTCATAACATTCAGCTTTGAAACATAGCTAATTAAAATAGATTAATAATTAGATAACAAATATGATTATCTAGTGGAGTCCAATCTTAATCTTATTTTTCAAAATCATTTCATTATCTAAGCAATGGAGAGCAAAGTATTTTTCCACCCCTTCCAATTCTAGTATATAACTCTTATTTTCAATAGCATTAGAAGGGGTATCAAAAGAAAATCAAATAAATGAAATAAATCACTAAAATAATAAACACTTCTATTATAAAAGAATCTGATTTACTAAGAACTAACTCTCAACTATTGTCTACTAGCATATATGCTACATATTATTTTCTTATGAATGAACATCAAACTTTCATTTTCCTAAGTATCATTACATTCATCTAGCTGTAAACATGTATTTGATACCTTATTATAGAACACCCCCCCCAAAAAAAAACCTTAGTTACACATGATATTATTTTACACTATTATTAGGAAAACGATAGTCTCTCAAATCTTATTAACTTAGAGATTATTGAATTATTATGATATTTAAGTGCAATAAAATTTCCTCAAATGACACAAAATAAATACACATACCTATATGGATGATTCAGTTCAAGAAAGAGAATTCATTTTAATCCAACCCAAGAAAGTCATGGAAGCTATTTCCCAAGTCACACACAGCAATGAAATCATTGTCGTAAAAAACACTTCAAAATATTTGTAACTCAAAATTATAAAAATAAATTTATAAATATAAACTCTTTCCCTCCCTTCAAATCTATAGCAAGAAATATTTTGTACAAATAACAAAATAAGAGATGCAGTGAACATTTAAAAATTTAATATTTGATTTTTATTTCCATGAGAACAGTCCGTTGTCTGCTGTAATATTTCTAATTGTCAGTTCTTCAGTATTTGAGCACATTTGTTGAACAAAGGCTTCAGGTAACCCACAATCAGTCAAGTTATTTTTTGCAAATATGCAAGGTAAAATAGGAGACTGTGGAGTGACCATGGAAAATGCTGAAGTGGGCGCATGTGTAGTCAAAACAGCTGAAAAGTTTCCCTCTTGGGTTGCATTAAACAGAGAACATAAAGAATGAATAGTATTAGGAAGTAATGGGCCATTTATTTCTACAGAATCTAATTCTTTATCTTCATTTTTCACCTTTCCATGACTTATCTGGAAAAAAAAAAAAACCATTTCATTTGCAATATAATTGTTTCTTACAACATAAATTAGCGTAAATGTCTTAAACAAATTTTAATAATAGTTCATAATTTCTACATTTGGAAATAACTATAAAAGGACTTCATTTTGGGTCAAACCGTAATAAACGAAATATGATAAAACTACACTAACACTGGATATTTTGGGAATTAAGGGCATGTGCTAACAATACTAAAAATTAACAATTATAAAAAAATTAATTTGTATTTTAAACCAGTCCATATTCGTTCAACAATCAAACTTGTTTTTTGATAAAATGTAGATGCATTTTTAATATGCAAATATTAAGGCATGAATTAAGAAATCCATGAAATGCATAAATTTTAAAAGTAAATGTCATGGGAAAATATATACAGCAAGTAATAAAACAATATTTAGAATAATGTTTCTTAACTACATCTAGTTCTTTATTAACCCTCTCATAAACACTGCAAACATACAGTCTGTAAATTCTTCACAGGAGAAGAAAAACACCCTATTTTTTTAACATAGTAATAAAACACGTTTTAAAATTTCATAATTATAAACAATTAGTGGGAAAAGGAACGCTCTAGTGCAGCATTTTTAAAACCATGGGTTGTGAAAATTTAACTCACATACATGAACTAAAAGAAATTATAGTCACAGTTCCTTCATTATTTGTAATTTGTTACATGTCCTATACAGCACAACTATAATATCATAATACTGGCAAAGTTGAACTATAAATTATATTTACATATTGAAAAATACCATTAAGTACACCATACAGTGGTGTTGCACTACAATTTCAGCATGTAAGTTATTTCAGAATGAAAATATGTTGCAAATGCACAATACTTAATGGTCTGAGTCCCACAGTCATGCCGAAAATAAGGTCAGTGGCACTTCGAAAATGGCAAGGCAAAGTGAAAAATTATAACAAGTTATTTAAGTTTTTCCACACATTTGTAACTTGCATCCATTGATTAATTAACTAAATAAAGAATGATATGTTCTTTCAAACTCTTACCTAACTTTATTTAGGCAGAAGTTAGCTGATCTCTCAGTGGATGACAGTATTTCTATAAAAATTGTCTATGTTTGAGAAGAATGTTTGTTCCCGAACATCATTATTTTCTTTTAGAGTGCACAGCAATTCTTTGGCAGAAGGTGGTATAAATTTGTGAGTTTTGCTTTCCTGAAGCTGACAAATTAGTTCAGAATATGTCGAGATGCTTCTGTTACTGTGATAGAATTAGCTTCCAATTTCAGAACTACATTATTAAATAACTGCAGAGTACCATATAAAAATTTCAAAAAAGTTAACTTTCTAGATTTTTTAAAAAAATAAAATAATAATTTTGGGCATTTGTCACAAGATAGGAAATATGACTTTAGGCCATCAAAAATGGAAAGAATCCCATCTATTACACGTAACAAACTATGGAATCTTGTGCAGCTATGACATATGTTTTTAATCTGTTTCCACAAATTCACAGAACTCTAAGTTTTGTTACTCTTACTGTTTATATGTGAAAATATTTATACATTTTTATAACAATAACTTCTATATCCAGGGGTAGAGAATCACACGTTGTTCGTACGCAATTATGTACAATGAGGGCTGAACAGCCAACCTAAAAAAAGTTTATCTAGATGAGAGATGCATGGTGGTAAGAGAATTTTAAAAACATGACATGGAACATATAGGTCTAAAATAAAAAATAAAAAGTCATAAAATCTCAAACCCCTCGGGTAACACTAAAAAACCAGGACGTATGCTAAGCCTAAATACCTACCACTTTGCAAATGAATTTTAGGACATGTTCTTGAAGGTCTATCATTGCTTGTTATACAAAAGTGAACTTAAATTTTTGCATGTGTATAAGAAAAAATTGTTTCCAAATTGCAATGCTATAGTAATTTATGTTGTTAGTAAATGCATCATAATCAAGTATATTAATTTTGTTTGAGAATGAATGTTTTTGTACAGTTTCTTGAAATTTTGGAATTTCAATTTGGGGAAGTGGTAAAAAATCCCTTCGGAGTGAGATGGCACTGTCATCACTACTGCAAAAGAAGAGAATGTTTATTTTGCCTCTGCTTGTGAAGCAGAGTGTGTGTAGATGATGCAATGTGTTCCACAAATATGTAAATAAAATAAAATACAATTAGTTAGCTTAATGAGTTAAAATCCATTATTTACTAATTAGCCAGACCATACATGTATTTACATTTAATATCAAAACAAAACTAGTACCAATAAAAATAAATATAAAATCAGAATTAAAATCAGTTTCATGACAAGAAAGGATAAAATTAGGTTATTCCACTATTATCAGTATAAATAATTAAATAATGTATTAAAAACTTATTCAGTAGAGGAGAGAAAAAATCCATTTCTGTCAGATAAACACGAACATTTCTTCTTTTATCTTGATAAAAAGTGATAATATAAATAAAAAGTCAAATGCACAAAATTATATTATTAAACAGATGTTTATCTCCTTATACAGCTTAATCAGATGTGTTTTCAGATATTTACTACTTATGCAATTTTAGATTTAAAAAAAAAATCTGGATTTGACTGGTTGTTACAGGTTTTTCCCACTTTACAAACGTATAGTAGAACCCTTGTTAAAAGAAATTTGATGAAGATTTCACTTTCTTGCATAAAAGCAACAATCAAAAATACTATTTAGCTTTTGGTTTATGCAAATGAAGAAAATATAACTTTTCAATACTTATTTAAACTTTTCCAAAGTTATGCAGATTCCGAACAGTTTTGGAAGATATTACTGAATGAAAATAAATAATAATAATAATAATTAAAAGAAAAGGGAGGAGAGAAAAACAAGAGGACAGAAAAAATTTAGGACTAGCAAACAGAAAATGTAAATGCAGTAATCTCATGGTTATAAATAAGATATCAATATGTGACTTTTGCTTTCTTTCCCCTATACCTTACACTCTGTACCTGTAATTTAGTTAGATTTAATAATACAGTTTAACGCACCACCATCAAGCTTTCCAGTGTGTTTTCTATCTTCACACTTTTGGAAAATGGGGATGCATAACGCATAGGTTATTTCTACTGATATGGATAGTATATTCAATGCATTATTTTTGCTTTATAATTTCCAAAAATCCTTTCATTTTATAAACCTACCTTGAGAGACTGAAGAGTTCCACCAAGAAAAGCAGTTGGAGCCAACAACGTTGGTGGAATGCCAGCCATTGGTCCAATTTTTGATGTGCACAATTGAGAATTCAAAAGAAAATTTACAAGAGCTTGAGTTTCTGAATCCTCTACATACACTAATGATTCAGGCTTGTGGTCAATTTTATATGCCATCTCACTACGACTGAAAAGTAATTAAAGCTAATAACATGATATGGTTTTAAATATATTTTTAACTATAAGATTTTAACAGAAAAATACTTATTTAATTATTAAAAGGATATACTTCTAAAACATATAAAAATAAACCTCAGAATAAAAACAAAAAGCACAAAACTGATGTGCTTAAATAATTACTGCACATCATGCAAAAGACAACATGTTATAAATAATATTAATTTATCTTCGTTAACAGTAAATTATGACAATTAAACCATATTATTTCAGAGAGCAAAAAGGATACCGTTTCTTTTTATTGAGAGATGGAAAATCGTCTTGACTAAGACCCAACTTTTCCAACCATGTTTCTGGTTCATCATCTTCAATATCATCATCAGATTCTTCTGTTGCTCTAAAAACATAGTTTTTTTATAAAATATTTTTACATTTAAATATACTAAATAAAAAAATAAACAAAAATGTATAATTTATAAAATAATAAATATGTTGAAAATTAAATAGGAACTTTAATAATTGACATAATTCAACCTACTCAATTTATTTTCAAGCATAGTATGGTCCTCCTTTCATTGGATCTAAGTTAAATGGTTATAGCTTCAAACATGAAATTTTGCCTCATGTTTAACACCTGGTGGTGCAGTGAGTTGGTAGTAATGGTGTTTTGAATAATTCTTGCATTTATACAGCAAGTATAAATTGGTTCTATGCAGAAGGTCCACAACTGTGGTATGTTTTCCTAAATCCAAGTCACTGAGTTTTCTGCCCCAATATATTAATTGGGACTTTCCCATTTATAGAAACCTCTAAAAAAATAGCAAAATGTTGTGGCAAATGATTTGTTTTACACCCATAACAACTGCTTTTTTTCTCTTTTGCTAAATAATGCTATGATTTGTTTTCTATAACATATAGATGTATAAATATACAAAGTGTATATCATATTTAGTCGCATAACCTTTAAATCATTACACGTGCTTCATTTATTAAATACAAATAAAGCAATTTAAGTGCACATATCACAACTCGATCGCGCAAGATTTTCTCACTGAACTCATGAGGCATCCATCTGGAATATTTAAATACCACAACTAGTTTCTGAATAGGCTCCAAAATGGTTTACTGAGCTGAATTAAACTTTTCCACAATCTCCAATGTTATCAGAAAAAAATCTTGCTTCACCATGGTCTTGACAATATTATCATTGATCAAAGATGGCCGTCCAGAGTGTGACCTTGTCATTAAGGTCGAAGTCGTCTGCTTCAAATATTTTGAACCACCTTCTGCATGTTCTATCCAAAACTGCATCCCCACCAAAACACTGTCCATATACATTTTGACATACTTCTGTAGCATTTCTTCATTGATGGAACATGTACAAAATATAGTGTTGTAAACGAACTTTATGGGTAACCATGTTTACATGATGACATCTCAATAATGAAATCAGACACTTTTGTTTCAGTTAATTTAAAAGAGTAGATATTTATAAATGCAGTGATAAAGAAAGACAGCCATACATTTCTAAAATGAACCTCCAAGTGTGTTGAAACTTAAAATAAGATTATTGGACAGAACTTTGCGGTAGACCTCATACAAATATTTTTCTTGTTTTGATGGACCAGAATTTCAGAAAGAAATGTCTGTTTTCTATCATATCAAGAAATGGTATAAGAAATTTCAGGATGAAACCTGCCTGTGTACAGCTCCTCAAATGGGATATCAGTTAAAGTTACAGCCCCTTTAAGTCAACTACACACAATTTAGAGTTTGGCATCTTGCTATCTACAGTATCAAAAACTTTTTATTAAAAGACTAAAATATAAACCCCACAGGCTCTAACTGTATGAGCATGACAAGGTGTGCATCTTAATTTCTGAAATAAAGTGCAAGGGGGTTCACAATTTCTCTGACTAGTGCAGCATTAATGATAAGTTCACAATTTTGCTAACTAGTACAGCATTAATGATAAAGTAACATTCTAACTGTCTGGAAAGGTAAATTCTTACGTGTATATCAAAGGGACTTAAACTCCCCGTTAGTTATAAAACATGTACAAGAAACACTTAACGATTGCAGAATTTTTTTGGGAAAAAACTAATACGGATTACTTTTCCTCATTATAACGAATAAAAAAGGTGTGGGGTGCTCTTGATAAATTCATAATGTTAATGACCTATAACCTTTGACAATGTAATTCTTTATGAGGTTTAAGTACTTAAGTGCCTACACGTCAATAATTCATGATATAAAATTGTAGATAATTCAGTAAAGATAATTTTTTAATTTATTATTCCTATTAAATTATGCAATAAATTATTTTTCTACTTTGAGTTCATTAATTATTTTATGAGTTTTAAATAAAAGTTTATTTTATAAAAGCTCTTTCTCTCTCCCCCCTTTTTTCAAGTGTTTAACTTTTAAAATGTGACAGTATAACAGTACTTTTCATTTGAGGATTGGTTTGGTTTATTTGATCATGGCAAAGCCCTCAAAGAGCTATCTGACTGCCTATGGGAAAGGATGCCTTCATGGAGAACTTTCTAAGGGAAAGCGGCTCATATATGTGTGTTACACATGAGGAAAACAATGAAAACGGCCATGCAGCCAGCCCATTTGCGGGATTCAAACCTCGTACCAAACTACCAGTATTTAGCAACTTTACCGCTCAGCTGCTGGTGGATTTTGGATTTTCATTTGATGGAATCTGAATAATTGCTTTCATTTCTTAGTGAGTTAGATAGAAGTTCTTAGTGTCTGAAGCACAATTCCCTGCATTGATATGCTGAAGTAGAATTTCAATGACATGTGCAATGAAACTAAGCATGTAAGCTGAAAGATTTTAGTAGAAATTTCTGTGTGTCATGGTTATTGGGGAATTCAAATAAATGGATAAATGGCCCCCAATCTTTGGAATGGATGATACCATAGCTGAATGAAGAGAGTACTGATTACCTCTTTTAAGTCAATTATCAGCTGACTACAACAGACTTCAAAAAATATCTCAATGAAAATTTGCAAGGTGATGATACTCTAAAATAGTGGCAACCTCAGTCTCTAGAACTAACCTCTCATAAATTGTTCCTCTGAGGATTACCCAAGGATACAGTTTCTGCACTCTACTCCCCTGATAATCTCGACGACTGTGTCTGGATATTACAAGATTGATGTTTTTATTCCCTCTCATGCATTGTCATGCATGGAAGTGATACTGCATTATTACGAGGGCTATCCAGAAAGTAGATTACGTTTTGGAATAAAAAAATAAACAAAGTATAGGAAACAAATTTTATTATATACAGATGAAAGCCACACTCAAATACTACTTTTCTACATAGTCACCATACAAATTAAGGCATTTATCGTAGCGATGTACGAGCTTGGAAATTCCTTCGTCGAAAAATTCGGCCGCCTGCGCCTTCAACCACACCTTCGTTACCTCTTCTTGCAGCTGTGCGTCGTCATCAAAACGCTGCATAGCCAGCCACTTCTTCATTGCTGGGAATAGGTGGAAGTCGCTCGGTGCCAGGTCGGGACTGTACGGCGGATGAGGAAACAACACCCACTTAAAAGATTCAAGAACTTTACGAGTGACATTTGCCGTGTGGGGCCGGGCGTTGTCGTGAATCAACAAGATCTTAGAGCTCAACATTCCTCTGCGCTTGTTTTGAATTGCTCTTCTGAGTTTTTGGAGAGTTTGGCAATACCTTTGAGAGTTTATTGTAGTGCCTCTTTCCAGGAAGTCCACCCAAAATTACACCTTTTCTGTCCCAAAAAACAGTCGCCATCATCTTTCCTTGCCGACATTGTTTGCATGCATTTCTTGGGTTTTTGGGAGAACTTGTGTGCCCCCACTGCATTGATTGCAATTTCGTTTCACAGTTCACATGTTTCACCCATGTTTCGTCACCAGTAACGATGCGATCGAGTAAAGAGTCGCCATCCTTATGGTAAGCGTCCAAAAAGTTCAACGCTGCAGCCATTCGCTGATTTTTGTGGTCCTCTGTCAAGATTTTTGGAATCCATCTTGCACAAAACTTGTGGTAACCAAGCTTTTCGCTGATGATTTCGTGCAACAAACTTCGCGAAATTTGTAGAAAACTCAAAGAAAGTTCCGTTATTGTGAAATTTCGATTTTCACGGACTTTAGCATCGACTTTTTCGAGAAGTTCGGCGGTCACTATGCTGGGTCTCCCACTTCGATCTTCGTCGTGAACATTGGTTCGGCCATTTTGAAATCTTATGACCCACTGACGCACTCCACCTTCAGTGATAATGTTGTCCCATACACTTCACGAAGCTGCCGATAGATTTCTATCGGTTTACAGTTTTTTGCAGTCAGAAACCTTATTACTGAGCGCACCTCGCAGCTCGCGGGATTTTCAATTAACACAGACATTTCAAACCAACCATCACAGTATCTGAACGGAGCACAGCACGAACCTCTCACTAGCACGGCTAGATGCAGACTGAGCTGCGCAACGCTCTGACCCCAAGACGGCCGCGCTAGCCCCGCCCCTAGCGGACACAGACGGAAACGTAATCTACTTCCTGGATGGCCCTCGTACATATGTGCCTGTCATATTAGCAAAGGTGTGGCATCATACAGTGTACGAGTGTCACGTTGAACCTGTTTAAAATATGACGGGGGGGGGGGATCTTTATGTTTACCTCTATTTCAATATAATAATATATTTATTTATTATGAAGTAAAACAAAATATGAATAACTATGTTTTTCAAGTACTATATATGTTTATTTAAAGTAATTAAGGAAAGAAAGTTACACTCCGAAATGTACTATACCTGTCATTTCAACAGTTGCCTTCTTAAGTATAACCGAACTGAAGCCTAAACTCAGGATATATCTTTAAGTACATTCAAACTCAAACCATGAACTGGAAATATTATCCTCTAGTAAATGAAGACCATTTATTTCTATTTATCATGGTTTAAATTTTAATGTACAGACTTATGGATTTAAAAGATGATAAAAATGAAAAAAGAAACTCAAACTATTCTACAACTGTACTATTTTTGGGAAAGGAAGGTAACACATTTTATTGCTAGTGCATGTATGGGGACCATTTTGTAATTAAGTTCTATAAGGCATGAAGAGAGAAAAAAATAAAGAGAACAATTTTATTACTTTCTACTGTGAATTCTACATGACCTCACCTTTCAAATTAAAAAAAAAAGTCAAAATACATCGTTAAGGTGTCATATAACTTTACCATAGAAAAGTAAATCAGTGAAAGGTAGTCACTCCATAATTAAAGGGTATTTATCAGATACTACATGTTACTATTCCCATCATTTTTTTCATCCTGAGCATCTGTTAATTTTTCTTAAAACTTGTGGTAACATTTATGCATAGCATTATTACCCATTCATATTTTTTGCATTGCTATTACACAATACATGATGAATTTCAGCTGCATTGTAATCATCTGCTTGTAGATATTTGCATTTAATTTGTGTGAATCTTGCATTTGGTTGGAATGTCAATTCAATTAAACACCTTTATAAGAACTATATACAAATGGGAAAAGGATAATTAAAGAGCTGCTGAAACAAACAGTATTATATAATATGCATTTAACTTTTGCATAAATGAGGTTTCCATTTCCATGCTTATCAAAATTTGATTAAGAAATACACCTCACACATCAGTAAATGAAGATATTGCTTGACACGGATAACTCATTCCCAGTTCAAAAATCTTTTACACGCAGCAAACATACATTGAAAAATCAATTCACATAATTTTGTAAGAGTTTTAGGAGAAAGGTTCATAAAATCAAAATTTTATAGTGACACAGTTTTAAATTTTAGTAAAATAAAGATTTATTAAATAACATGAAATATTTAATCAAAATTAAAATGACAATTAAGAAAAAAATTTAAGAAGGGCAAGCAAATTACAAATAAAGTGTTATATTTTTGTTACAATGCAATTAAAATTGCTAAAGCATATTTCAAACACTAATGTTTTGCAATAAACACTAAAAACTGATATTAATACAATTAAGCAGCAAATCAAGATATAAAATGAAACTTAATAAGCTTAAAAACTTAAGGAAATCTGAATTAAAATCATGATTTCAAATTAATACAATTTGTTATGCAAGTTAAAAATAAATAAGTTAATTAACCCTTTAAGCTCCTAAATGCATTTCAGAAAAATCAGTAGATGACTTCCTACATTTAAAATTACAAAATGATTATAAAGTATTCTCACTTGTTTTCTCCATTTTCTTCAGGATGAGAAGAATCAAGATTTTCATCTGTTAACTCACCAGAATCGTCACTTTTTTGACAAAGAGGCATAGTAAATGCAATGCCTATAATCAAATAATTGGCAATGAAATTGAAAATGAGAAAAATGCAGTAATATGTATACAGTGGATATGACTTGGAATTAACACAAAACGACAGTTATTATATTTCTGAAAATCTATACTGTACCCCACTGCTTATTAAACTTAGCCACTTATTACATTTAAATTTCCAAGAACTACAATAAATACATACTAACCAATAGAAAAACCACGATTTAATTAAATTCAATAATCAAAAGACTCATTCTTCAGTGCTAGAATATCCAACTTGTACCTTTTAAAGCTTTCCATAGTTTGTTCATTATATGCGTTGTGGCACACGGCTTTAACATTCAGGTACGTAATACTTCAACAAAACAGGTTTGATCAAAAGTTTCCTACTCCTTGGTTTCTGTACATGTGAAACACTATTTTCAGTGTTCTTTTGTCCACATTTTCAGGTGAACATAAGTTCCTTAGCTTAGCAAACACTCCTCTACAGGCATTGTAAATGAGTAAGGATTCCTTTTTTAATACCAGCTGATAAGAGGTGGAAGTAAAACTTCTGTATCCTATCTTTTAAGGCAGGAGTCTCCAACCCTATGCCCTTTGGCACTAATGCATCTGTTGACAGTGTTACGTATGTCCACTTCTGTGCAGCTATGATAAAAAAATGACAAGTTTTGAATAAAATGTTACATAGCTTTTTTATAGAAGTAATTAAATAGAGAAATATAAGCATATTTGTTTAAAAGCTTATCTATAATTTTATATGGACTCAAAAGAAGTCCTGGGTCTGATTGGTATTGTCTCAGTCTGAAGGTATGTTCCTGGCCAGTTTGTCATTTTGTCCCAGGTTATTTGTTAAACATTTCAATTATTCACATATTAAAAATATGTTTAATGCCTCCTTGTACTACTGTACTATATGCCACTGTTCACAGATGGCACTATACGCAGAGCAAAACTATTTGTTCTAATACTGTGGTGCCATCTATAAAGTTGAATCTCCATTAAATTGGTATTTCCCTAAAATGCCATGTTATATTTTTTGCTAATTATATGCTCATGATTCCAGTTTACATGTTTCTCACTTTATTAATGGTGATATCTTCTACTTTTGTTTCTATACATATTGTTATTTTAATTCCTAAATGAGTGATTCAAGAAGCTGTAATTTTAATATCAAGTGACAAGAATTGAATCATTTCATCCATTTAAAAGATAAATTTGTTTACTGGTTGTGCAGTAGTTGCATTTCGGTGCCAAAGAAACAATGTTGAACATCACTTTCAGACGATTCATGCCACTTTTAATATGATCTATTCATTTAAATCCGAGGAAAGAAAAACAATAAATCAGTCAAAATCAAATTTGTTTACCCCAAAATCAGTTTTCACCAAGCCTGCGGTAAATAAAACGTAAAAATGCATTATTGCTTCTTTCAAAATTTCTCATACGCTCGGGGGTGGGGTGGGAGGAAGAAGGAGAAAACTGAACGGTTTCAGATTTTAAATTACATCCAAACAGGCATTTTTTAAACATTTCGTGTATTACATTTATTTATTAAATATCACGTTCATCGCATTTGAACCATTAAATTCAGTTCAACATCAATATCGCAAAATAGCTTTAAAATGAGCATATCTCTAGAATTTCCAATACAGAGACTCACGCGCCAGAGATAAAAATGTTTTTTCTGTACAACACTGCCATTGCTCGTTTTGAAATCCTTGATTTTGTTAATAAAAGATTCGTTAAAGTTTCACAAATAGGAAATTGATAATAAAACAAATTCTAAATTTCAAATTTGGTCTTCCACATGCCCATATTCGTAGGAGGATTACATCATTCAAAATTCGATGGCTCTATGTACTGCTGTTTTATCACAATGTGAGAAATATACATACATTTATGTAGATTTTTCATTATTTAATTTCTTCAAGTATAATGCAGGACTCTAACATTTGGTGGCAACAGTTTGAAAAGTGAAACAGACATTTATAGTGAACCAACACAAAATTGTAAAACAAAAACAATAGTCCTTCAGGGACAAAGCTCCTTTGGACTAAAAAAAAGGCTTTTCCAGGATGGTGAATTGACAAAAACCATTTTTAACTGCTGCCAATTGCTTACTTGAGGGATTTTCTAATAAATGTGAGATAATTTCAGTAATGCAAGTCTTGCAGTTGTCAGATAACAGCGTCACAAGAAGATCACATGCCATTTCAAAAGACATGCAAACACAGTTAAAGACTGACTGAAAAATACATGACTGGTTCTCACTACAATTTGGCGAGTCTATGGATAAATCAGACACTGTGCAGTTACCAGTTATGGTGAAAATAGTATTCAGTCCTTTAAAAGCAAATGCACTGAAAATATTACCTATGCAATGACGAACAAGAGGTGATGATATCTACAGCATATGCAAAGTCGATAAATGCCTCTGCACAAGCTGTTAGCGATAACAATAACCACCAATGGGACACCAGCCCACACAGCCAATGGGCCAGCCAACAAATATTAACAGGTTTATTGTCCTCTGCAAGAAAGATAAACCCTTAACAAACTTATGTCATAATACTGTATCATTTATCAGAAAGATTTGAGCAGTAATATATTGCCCTTTGCAGATGGCATGAAAATACTAGTTACAAGAATAATACATTTTTTTCTGAGCCAACCCTTTACGACAGTTAGAAAATTCAGAAGATTCTGATCCCATTTCGTATACTAAAGTACTCTGGCTCTGTAAAGGCAAGATTCATAAATTTAATTTCAGAAATAAAAAAATTATGTCAATACAAAAAAACAAAATTTTGCTGAGTTAACAGACGGTGGATTTAGGTTTTCTCATCAGGCATATTTGAGAAATTCAGTTACTTCAAATAGGAGATGCAAGGAAGAGACAAACATATAGCTTTAATGATAGGGTCTATTAAGTTGTTTAACCCTCTTGCTACGTATCCCGCGATTTTCCACGGGCAACAAAGAAGTAGCAAAATTTGTGCAACTCGCGACTTCCACAGGGATGCATATTTTTCGTTTATTTAACTGTGCAACCCGTTTTTTTCCCGTTCATGATTTCATTTTGGCTTTTCTGTGATGTTTAAATATTTATTCATATCTGGGTTAACAAATGGCATTAGAAGTCCATATTTTTTACGAAATATACAAACACATTTTGCACCCTTTTGCACGCTCTTTTTGAAGCTCAAAGATGTCTGTAGTTAAACTCTCAATCACATGAGACTAACTGCTCAACATTTTGCTAGATATATATCCCCCATCAAGAAAGAAACTTGTAGACACTGTGCTGTTTGTTTCTAAAAAAAGAAAAACTGGCAAAAAAATTCTCAAAGAAACGTGTATTTGGTGCAAAGATGGCGAGATAGGATGCCTTGAGCCTTGTTTCGAAGTTTATCATATTACATTTCATTTCTAATAAATGTTTCCTAAATATTTTGCATATTTTCATTAGTACAGCCAAATACCTGAAATCCGCATCGATTTTCAAAATATAAACATTCAGTTTATAGGTTCCGGAAACCACAACACTGATTATATCACACAACACTGAAATATCGAAGAAAAAATACTTACTGAATAATGACGTCATAATTACCGAATAATAATGAGTCATGACAGAAATATAAAATTATTGCCATCATGGTAAAATTCCCCCCCCCCTAATCTGCATCGAGGTAAAAAGGCAGACGATTCACTCAACTCTTCTTTCAAGTTCACAATTCACGTTGTTGTATTTTCTGAGCTTTGTTATTTCACGAGATTATTTAGTGCTGCCTTTCTTTTTTATCCGGATATTTTGTGGATATTAAGAAGAATTAAGAATATTTTAAATTTCAGCCCTTTTTAATACAATGACAGATAAGAAACACACTCATGATTTTACTACTTGCAATGTTGAAAAACATGGTTGATCTTTACAATATGGTAACTGGTAGTTTGGCGACATTTTGGAGGCGATAAAGGTTACTACCTGGGACTTTGGTAATAATGTGAGCAGTACTCAGTTCCGATTACGCATTATTTTGTGTGAGGGAAATGAGAGATCATGGGATATGTCATGTGATATTAATGGACGAATAACGGTTCTTTAATCGGAAAAGGGGGGAAATCGGGAAAAAATCTGGAAATTTTTTATTTGGCTTTATTCTGTGTTGTGTGAAACAGTCTTGGTTAATTCTTGGATCCCATGGCCGTAACTAAAGTGAATTCGAAATGGGTATTTAGTGGTATTGAAAAGGGTAGTAATAAATGTTTGTTTAAGGTTTAGCGAGATAGACATAAAGATAGAAGAAAAGTTTATCGGACACGTAATCAAGATTCTGAAGAAGATTAGGTAAGTTAGTATTTTTAATTATTTGAGGATAGTATTTTTATGCATTGTTCTAAATGTAAGGTGGAAAGGAATTTGGTATTATTGGGAAAATTGTTATTAGCAATGATTTAGTTTAAAGTAATTAGGATTGTAAGCTAATTTTTATTAATTTAATGTATGTGCTCATTTATATTTTAAGTAGTGTTTTTGAATTTAATTATATTTTAATGAAATGATAGTTATTTTGTGAATTTTATGTTTGTAGGAATTTGGTATACGTTTTAGTTGAAGTAAACGTGCATGGAAATAATTTAAATATCTGACACTACGTATTTGTAATGATTGCGGTAGGAATTCGTTGGTGACGTTTATAATATAATAGATGATTTAGAGGTAAAAGTTTTTGGATATTTTATTTATTTTATATGTGGAAATGTTCATATTTGGAAAGGGTAAATACTTTTTCGCGATCAGGTAATTTCATATATGTTCTTTTTACCGGGTTTAAAGATTGAGAAAATTGTCATGTATTTTCGTGAAATTTTTCTAATTTATGAGAAAAAAGCAGTGTACATGGATATAGTATAGGAGTGTGCGCAATGCCATTTTTGTGCAATTCTGGGATGTTTTTTTAAGTAAAAATAAGTCGACGTGTACATGGTTTAGTGATATTTTAATTAAATGATAGTTATTTTGTGAATTTTATGTTTGTAGGAATTTGGTATACGTTTAAGTTGAAATAAACGTGCATGGAAATAATTTAAATATTTGATACTAAGTATTCGTAATGCTTGCGGTATGAATTCATTGGTGACGTGTATAATGTAATAGATGATTTAGAGGTAAAAGTTTTTGGATATTTTATTTATTTTATATGTGGAAATGTTCATATTTGGAAAGGGTAAATACTTCGCGATCAGGTAATTTCATATATATGTTCTTTTTACCGGGTTTAAAGATTGAGAAAATTGTCATGTATTTTCGTGAAATTTTTCTAATTTATGAGAAAAAAGCAGTGTACATGGATATAGTGAAGAGTGTGCGCAATGTCATTTTTGTGCAATTCTCGGATGTTTTTTTAAGTAAAAATAAGTCGGCGTGTACATGGTTTATGTGTATGTGTTATTTTGAAAAACGCGTAAGGAGTATGGTATTGTGCACTTTTCCCCAATTTTGCAGTGAATATTTGTCATGATTAAGCAGTTTTGTTTGATAAAATTTCTAGCATAAGTGTAATTCGGCTACCAGATTGTTGGAAGAAGTGTTCAGTAGATAAAAAGAAAAGAAACATGTCTTTACTTCGTGAAGACAAAATGGCTTCGGGGAAAAAAAAATAGAGGGTTGCTGTAGGAGAGTTGGTTGCCAAATTTTCGCCAAAAAATCGCCAAGTTACCATAATAAGATTAACCAAAAACGTAAACACGTTGACAGTAATGCAAAAAGTGCAAATTCTGCAAAAGATGGAGGCAGGTGCTACTCCTCGGTTTAGAGCAAAATCATATGGAATTGTGACACGATTGCGTACAAGCTGTTGAAATTTTACAGCAACAGTGATTCTAACACCGGAATCCGAAAAAGGAAATCTTTGCATGAGGTGAAATCAGCAAACCTTGATGCTGTGTACATATAATACAATGAATAATATAATCAATTTATATATGTAATAATAATAATTTAATGCATATAATAAGTTATATGATATTTTAATTAAACATATCTAATACACCTTATTTTGCGCTTTTAGTCTGAAAATTATGATTTATCCTTTCTGTCCTGAAATCCGCAAAATCCTAAAATCCACACGACCTCTGGTCCCAAGCTTTGTGGATTTCTGGACTTCTACTGTATATACGTTTTACCATTATATTTTATAAAATAAATCATAATTTAACCAAGCTTAATTTTCAAAAATTTTTCTTTTATATGATTATTCTTCAGTTTAAACTTTCCAACAACCTTTTTTTATGAGCTAATTCTATACTGGGGAAAAAAAAAAACTCTTACAAAAATTTTTTGTGTATTTTCACTCTAAAATATATGTAGATTTGAAATATGTAATAAAAAATTATGCAATTTTCGAATCTATTTTGATAAAAAAATTACGTGGATACAAGACGTTTTACTTGGTATACTAAATGAATACAAGTCACACAAAATTTATAATGCAGATGAAACTGAACTGCATTACAGAGCACACATTAACATTTAAAACTGAAATATCAGTTAACTTAAGAAACTGACGGAATAAGTTACAACGTGCAATATGAATCCAACAAATATAAAGACAGCCCTAGTTATTGACAAAAGCAGCAACAAGAACTCACGGTTCACAATTAGTACTTTTACTGATTTTCTTTGAAGTGGAACAGCGAACTGAAAAATGAAATACAGTACAAAAATGCGGACTCATCGGGACTTCAGTGATTCCGGATTAGGGTTTTTTTCCGGATTATAGATCATCAATTTAAATCTGGCAAGATGGCACGCAGAAATTATAAAATTAAAAATATGAAACAGTAATTTATGAAATAAAGAGCAATTATAATCTAAAGGGTATTAAAAAAAACCTCAATATTTATTTGTTTACTTTATTAAACATTTCTTTCAACGCGCGCATGCGTAAAGCATACATTATGCCTAGTCGAAATTTGAAAATTGCATCTAGAAAACTATTTGATGTGCATTCGTGATATTTATAATGACGAGGAATTTGATTTAAATCTTATCAAAGACGGAGTACATCAAGATGAAATACTACATTTAGTAAGGAATTATACGCCGAATAAAATAAAAACATCTGCCCTGAAGATGAGGATAGTGCTGACAGATCAACTTCCAGTTCATTGCATACCGCGACATCCCCCCCCGCAGAGCAGTGTGAAATTAATAAACAGATTTTGGAATGGTTAGAGAAACAAAGGATATACCTTAATCAATTTTTTGCAGCAATTCCACCTTTTATTTGATGGACATCGAAACATGCTTTCGCTTTGTAGATCCTTTGGTAGTTCCAGAAACCGAAACTCTTTTTTTTTTTTTTTACATAATCGAAAATTAAAGCGTACTTTTTACAAAATTGCTCTAACAGTCTGCAAAAAATAATAAGGCGGACCCAATTAGAAGATTAAGGAACAATGCAATCTGCAACATTAATTGAAATAGATAATTAGATAATTTTAGCCTAGCTTATACCGTCCATTATAAATTAAATGCGCATGCGTAAACACATTATGTGTTTATGCATGCACAGAAAGTTTGTAGCCTTAAGGTCCGGATTATAGATCATTCCAGATTAAAGACTTTGTATTAGCTTTACTGATTAGATAACTGTGCATCACACACCATTGATCTCTTTCTGAAAAATAATTAATGTCTCTTCCTGCAAATACAACTTCTAAAATTCAACCTTTAATTTTAGGGTACGATGAAAGCTTTCAAATGTCATTCTAGAAAAATGTTCAGTAAATGATGAACAGAATTCAATTTTATGAAAATACAAGCACCTGGAAGTCAATATCGCTGCCAGAGGCCATGATATTATAGCAAATGCAGGGGGTTAATCTTTTAAAATCAGTTAAAAACTATTTTTAAAAATATGGCTTATATGCTGAAGAAACCTCACAGGAATTGCAAACTATAACTAATGTTTCAGATGCTAGTGAGAGAAGCTATGAAAACCCATTTTCAAAATACATGCCAATTCACAACAATATTGAGACAATGTGTATAAAACCTGACAATGAAAGTGTTAAGTACAGCAAATTCTAAGAAATCTTCTTGAACTGAAAAGTGTTGATTAAAAATACCATGAAAAGTTTTATGAAATTGTGAATACAACTGAGAAACTGTTGCTGAATAACACGAAACAAATACAGGTAGAATAGTTGTTTGTAAGAAATGAAATTTCATCAAGCATGTAATTAAAAATATTTTAATAAATACTTTTTAAATAAATTAAAAAATTGCATACACAGTTTAATTTTAGTATTAATTAATGAATTAGTCGCTAGTTAAAATATTATTTGAAAATTTTAAAACTGACATTACGGTTTGTAATACACAAATTGTTGTCTATTAAACTCAGCCACTTAATAAACTCAAAAACTTTTGGAATAAAAATGATTTTAATAAGCAGTGGATACCATACATTCACACGTGAAATAAAATTTTCTCAATGTTCAATTTTGATTAACTATAATTCATACTTCAGAAACAAACTACTTCCCCCAAAAAGAATTCATCACTAAAATATGAATCTATAACAAAAGTAAATTAAAAAACTCAATGAAAAAAACTTAGTTGCTTAAAAGTTAAGATGTAGTTAAGATGTTGAACATCAAAGAACTAAGAGCAATTAAAAAATCAGTTTTCTGCTTTATCATTAGTTCCCAACATAATCTAACAAAGTTTAAAGAAATTATGCAAATTTTTACTAACAATTTTTTGAAAAAGCTACGATAAACACCTGGTTTTTTTGCCGGATGGTAACTTCAGGCAACCAAGAATAATTGGCCAGCTTCTGGCTTAAACAGCTGGAACGCTTAGCATCATCTTTTCTCCTTTTTTTTGTCGAAATTTTTAGTTCCAGCATATTTAAAAAAAAAATCTTTTTTTTGGGGGGGGGGTGACATTTTATCTACTTTATTACTCCTTTTGCATATTACTATGAATTATGTTCATTATCTTTGTATCTACTTTATAATTTCATCAAGATTATAGTTTTTAAAAATTAGTAATTTTCTGCATGCACTGCAAACTATTGCTTCATGATATGAAATAATGTTTTATATTCATGCACTGAAATTTTAAAATAAATATTATAAGAAGCCAGTGAGATATAAATTCATTTATAGTTAAGTGGGGAGGGGAAGAGAGGCTGTCATGAAAATAAGCAGCCAGTGGGATAAGCTAGGAAAAAATATTTGGTCTTGAATGTATTAATAATAAGTGTTGTCTCTTTCATCAGTTCAGGAAACTTTCAATCACTTTAGTTGATCCTTAAATTTGATTGGCAACAGGTATTGCAAAATGATTGAATCCTTATACCGTCTGTAATCCGGACCTCAAATGCACAAACTTTTTTTTTGTATACTTTAAGCATTCACATTTAATGTCACGCATGCACGCTCAATGTTTACGCATGCGCGTTTAGCACAGAAAACGAAGCAACTTAAACAACTTACATTGAAAGAAATGTTTAATAAAGTAAATAAATAAATATTAAGCTTTTTTTATAAATTTTGATACCCTATGAGATCATAATTGCTCTTTATTTCATAAATTACAGTTTCATATTTTTAATTGTATAATTTCTGCACGCCATCTTACCAGATTTAAATTTATGATCCATAATTCGGAAAAACCGTTAATCTGGAATAGCTGAAGTCCCGACGAGTCCGGATTACAGACTTTGTACCATATTTGGTCTTAAATGTTTCTATAAATTTTGTACTCAAAGGAATGGAACACTTCTATAACTTATTTAAATTATACAGCTTTTTAAAACATCTTTTATACTATTTAATTTAAGGATTTAAACTCAATTACATTGAACAAACTATATTTACATTACCTTCTTCTTTCAGAGCTTTTCGAAAACCTTTTGTAGTCGGACTAATTAAAGCATGTATCACAGGTACAGAAGCTGCTCCAGCACATCTAAAGAGAACTGTAAATGTTTCAGTACACATGTAAAAGTAAGGACATTGAAATAATCTCACCAACTGATATAAAGAGCGGAAGCTATCACACCTGTAAAATAAAGATACATTACATAATTTTTCAGGGCAAATAATCAGTTACAATAAATAAAAGACAGAGACGCAGTTTTATTTTTTAACACATAAAATAACCTATTTTCAAATAAAGATTATACACAGTAATGCAATACACACATTGAAACAAAACGTGTATTCTTTACATTACTGAATAGAATTCATTTTAGCATACAGAGCAACACCACACTAAATAAAATTAAGCAGGCCCTTCCTGCTTTTGTGCTCAACTCTTCAATTTTTTGTTTGTAAACCTGTTTAATCATCCATATAATGATGATTAACATTAAGCTAGATACAAAAACATCTATGAAAACTAAGTATCAACATATATAAAAGAAGTATTTCATGTTCACTGTAGACTGACTGAACAGAATTTCATCTGAAAGAATTACCTATATGAATTTTTTATGAAGTATGAATTAATCTGAAAGTTAATAATATAATCTATAAAAGGTTATATTGCCACAGATAACCCAATGCAGACACCATCAAAATGGCAGCTATAATGCTAAAATGACACTGCAATGATTTTACCTTGTTATGCTGCTGTATTTTATTCTATTCTTTTTATTATTCTATTCTACATTAAACTGATTTTTAATTTAAGATCTCGCTAGACAATTTGACTTAACTTTTATTCCATCGATAAAAAGATGAAACTAATTTTATTTTGTTGAGGGAATCAATCATTGAAGGTTAAAATGTGTTTGCAACAAGTCAAAAGTATTTATATTACTTGTGATTAAAAATTCCATATATCAAATTGTATATTGTTAACCCTTTCAGGACAGGCGTCCCATATACGCAATCCCTATGAACATCTCCTACAGCCGGGCGTCCCATCCATGCATTAGTAAAGATCGCATTCAGAGGACGGGTGATGTGTATATACATTTTAAGGTGGAACTTTTTTCTGAAGGCCACCAGATGGCATCCTGTGTCCATTACTTTTGAAATGAACAGTTTTAGGTTCCTGACCTTGAGTTTGATATATTCTGGTTGACTTTGGTATTTTACTCATCAGCTGTTCGAGGGTGGGGTGGGGGGAGGAAAGCGTAAACAGAGGTGGGCTCTTCTCTGCATGCTAATGAGTGCTAATGAAAACATTCTCGTATCTGATTTATATCCAATTGCATTTTTTATTCTATTTTTTCCTCTACTATGTATGGCAGGGATGTCAAACTCATAGGTACACTTGGGCCAAACAAAGAAGGTTTAACTTTAGGCGGGCCGCAAAAAAAAAAATCAATATTCATAGAAACGTAGATTTATTTCGAATAATACAATAATAAACATATATATATTTATATAGAAAAGAACAAGAAAAATTTAATGTTTACGTCCTGATACTTGACATCTTTTCTCTGCTATTATCTTTCCTATTTCGGGAGAAATTTTGTTTGGAGTGATAACTTTCAACGCTGACCCAAGGTGAGCATCATTAATACGGTTTCTAATAGGAGACTTATTACCTTTCATGACTGAAAATAACTGCTCGCACCGATAAGTGCTACCAAACATGTAAATAATTTCATATGCGAATTTTCGAGTATTTTCAAACCTACGTTCAAGCATGCCCACTTCAATGAATTTTGCTTTCAAATTTGAGTTGCATTGAATCTCGATCACCTCCATTTGCATATGGCTGGCTACTGAGTCAATACTTATTGAGAAAATCGAAGAAAACAAAAAAAATTGTCTTCGAGGGAACTAAAATCATTAAACCTCGTTTCAAATTCAGTTGTTAAATTTGCAATTTTTTCTGCGTATTTTTGATACGAACAAGTATCATCTAAACTTGATTTATTCATGCTGCACGTCGGGAAGTGCGTCAAATCTTCATTTTTAAGTTGTTTTTCCCAAAGAACTAGTTGACATTTGAATGCTTTAATTATGTCAAACATGTTCGTAATGATATGATCTTTTCCTTGTAACGATAAATTTAAATCGGTTAAGTGTTTGGTTATATCAACCAAGAAAGATAAATCTTGTATCCATATTGGATCGTAAAACAAACTTACGTCTTGATTTTTCGTTTTTAAAAACTGACATATTTCTTCTTTCAAATCCCGGAATTGTTTGAGAATCTTGGAGCAAGATAACCAACGTACCTCGGTATAGTAGGACAAACCCGAATATTCACTATCTAACTCACTTAAGAAAGAAGCAGTGAATTGATGCTGATTTAAACCTCGAGATCTTATAAAATTTATAACTTTTTTTTATATATAACAAAACATTCTCCATATTTATTACTTTCATGCATAGAACTTCTTGATGTATAATACAATGCATATGATGAATGTTTGAACCGTGAATTTCACTAAGTTTTTTTCTTAGTAATGCTACGAAGCCCTTGTTTTTCCCGGTCATTGATGGAGCACCATCTGTAGCTACAGAATTTAATTTTGCCAAAGGTAGATTGTATTTCTACAGAAGTCCAAAAACACAAGTAAATATATCTTCTCCTGTGGTAGTACCAGGCATCGGAGAAGATATATTTATGTGGTATAGTTCTAGTAATTCCTCAAAAATGTTAAAATTCTTGTCACAAAGAACGAAGAAAAGAAGAAACACTGCTAATTGAGCTTTGCCACCAATGTCCGTGCTCTTGTCACAGGCAATGGAGAAACTTTCGAAACTAGATGATTTTGCTTTGATCTGATCACTTAAATTCGCGGCTAAATCAGTAACTCTTTCCGCAACTGTATTTCGAGACAATGAAATTGATTGAAAAGCCTTCACATTTCCAGGACAAACAATTTCTCCAGCTTTCATTAGGCATTCCTTGATGAAATTACCGTCAGTAAAAGGCTTCGAATGTTTAGCTATCAACTCGGACAAGACGTAGCTTGCATGTACCGCCGCTTCACTTTCTTGAAATACTTTACTAAACATGGACTGTTGCTTTTTCACTCCTAACTTGAGCTCTTTCAACTTTTCTTCTCTCATTAATCCTTCGTAATTGTTATATTTCGATCTGTCTTGTTGGTAATGACGTTTAATATTATATAACTGTGGTACATTAATAGTATTATTACATATCAAGCAGATTATTTTATCTTTTATTTCACAGCAAAAATATTCTAATTCCCATTTTACTTGGAACATTCTATGTTCGTCAGCGATTTTTCGTTTAATTTTACTACCACTTGGTTTTGATATAGACATACTGAATACAAAGGGCTGGAATAAACACGGTTAACGTTAAAAAGTTAACAAAAATTTATTCTTTCCACAAGAGATAAATCAAAATGCTGAAATATTTCTTCAAAAATATTCTAACAATATCACAAAATGACAAACGTTTAGCAAATTCAATTCAAAACAGAGAAACTAATTCTATCTCACAGCGAAATCGCTACAAATCAATCACAGCATTAAGTAAACAAACAGTTCGCTAGAACTACAGCTACTACTGAGATGAGTTGTTTGTTCTCGGCTTTTATAAGCTTTATAATTAATTTCTCGAATATACTGGAAACATCTATAAATATCTGGATTTTTGTGGATGGCAACAGCAATTACGAGATATTTATTTATTAGGTATTAAATGCACGTGCTGTTCTATTTTTAACCTTCCAACGCAGCTGTCTTTTCAAAAATCGTCTGCGTTGCTAAGGCAACATGAAGCAAATCTAATTACAATTCTAAATTACAAAAACTAACTAAATAAATAACTATGAAATCTGTAACAATATGAATTAAGTAATAATTTATAATAAAGCAAAGTGCATGCACATGCATGCACCAATATATCGTACAAAACTATGATTAGAAAACTGAGACCATGAGTTCAGCCACATTCGGCTATCGGGGGATGCGTACAAGTTCTGAGTGCACGTGTCCCCAAGGTAGCTGAACGCAAGCTACTCACACGCATTTGTAATTTAAGTAGTGTATGTGTCAGCTCGCTGTGAGTAATCTAACAACACTGAATAAAATTATCGTTAATTACTTAGCAGTAAACATTTCATTTTTTTCTTCGTCGATATGTTATTTTATTATTATATATTATTATTTGCCGATATATTGGCCGGGCCGCAAAAATATTTGTTGTGGGCCGCGAGTTTGACGTCCTTGATGTACGGTCTTTTAGGGTTAGTGAGCGGAGTTTTTTTTGGAATAATTTGAATAGTGCTTCCGAAAATTATTTTAGAAGCTAAGCAATTTTTTAAGTATGTTTTCATGTAAAATAAAGAAAAAATGTTTTAACGGCCAATTTTAACATATATAAGAGCTCAAGTAATAATCTAAAATGATACAAAAAATTACGATGCTAGAAGCGAAACTTTTCTTTTTCTGATTTTTGTTTTAAAATTAGGCTTAGCGGAGCAAAACCTCTGTCCTGTACGGTGACTGCCTTCGATTCTCTTCCGTTCCGCACGAGTGTCTTAAATAAAGGTGCGCCGCCGCGAAAAGGTTAAACTAATTTTCGCAGATCCTACAGCTAATATACATGAATTTCTGAAAGTTAAACTATTGAAAAGCAGGATAAATAAAGATAATTTAGCTGATTACTAACCTGAATTTCAATTAGACAATAGCATAAACTTTCAAATATTACAATGAAATTTTGTATCAGCAAAATCTTTACACCACTTTTTAAATAGTTAACATTAAAATTTGTAAGTATCTTTTTGAAAAGATCTTCATTTTATCAAATTCATAAACAGTGTCTTATAACATTTTAAAGTGTTCAGTAGAACTATAATGATTTCTGAAAAGAACTGCTACAAATACTTCATATTAAATTAGACCTTCTGAAAACACATCAGTGGAGTTTCTGCAGAATGATAAATGGGCCATCAAGAAAGCCACCCGTTTTAAATATACATAATATTATAAAATAAAATATTGATTATAAAAAAAAAAAAACCTTACCATGTTGAATGCAATATTTCTTGTGCAACAGAATCTAAAATGACACTGCAACTGGAAAAATGAAAGTAATTTAATTAATTAATCATAAATAGGCAATTTTCTGTACAAATAAAATCAGTTAAAATAATTTCCATGAAAAGTATTACTTGTTTTGCTTTACACTTCTGTTATTGACCCGAGGAAATAAGTTTAACCATGGAAGAGATGGATGCATCCAAACAAGGCACTGTTGAAAGAATTTGGCACCATGACTTGAATGTGTTCCAGACCTCTGCAAAAAGATTAAGAAAAGCAGATGAAAAATATTGATAACTGAATACTAAAGTAGGATCTTGATTAATCAACATACCATAAAAACTTAACTAACACTATTAATAATATATTATTATTTTTACAGTAACATGTATTTCACTTAACATACATCATTTACAATTAATGTTAATCTTCCAAGTGATTTACAATTAATGTTAATCATTAAATACATCATTTACAATTAATTTTAATCATTAATCTTCCAAGTGAATTATTAGGAATACCAACTCTCACAATTAGACAGATGACTATGAAACTAATGAAACATTAATTAACTTTTTTTTTTTTCCTGGAGTTTTTCTCCTTTGCTTAATTCAAACAAACAGTTTTCCTTGTTTAGTTCTAATGGAAAAATGCATTGCACAGTTTTGGTTAGTTCATTTGAGCAAGTTTTAATAATTCAAATTTATCTATGTTGGAAAGGATATTACATTTCTATAATTTGAAGCACAGGTCAATCAGCTTTTTGTTATAATTTTTCTTAAGGTCTACTAAGATTTGGTCATTACATTAAAAGGCTAAAGTGCTGATTGTGAAATTATTTAAAAAATTTTTTTCTTATTCTTTGCTGATATGTCCATCTTTTTAACATATTAATTTCATCTAAATTGCCCAAGTCAGAAACTCAACTTGAAGAAAAATACCAAAAGTGTTAATCGCATAAAATTATCTGACAAGTATTGTAAAAAGCCAAGCACTGATAACAGCTTCTGTGTCATAAATAACAATTAATATCTCTTCATATGCCAAACAAACTTTACCTAATTCTCATCAGATTTTTTTCCCTCATCTGTACTAATATTTCCCACCAACTACTTCCATATGCTGCAGCTGAGGGTGGGATTGAATGTCCACAGGATTCTCATATTAAATGTGCTGCAAGGAATTTGATTCCAATTGATTGATATCAAAAGATTTTCAGCTCCAATAAAATTAGACAGATAATTTTTGGCAATTAGACAACTACAGACAATTTTTTGGAGCTCTCTCCTTGCAATAAACTTTCTGAACCACAAAACAGAAACAATGTTAGACAAATATTTCATCACTTCCAAATTCATAGCACGATACACTACACATGTGAAGAATAGAATCAAAGCTTTCTTCCATGCATCTTGAATCTTGTCTTCAGGAACAGCAGAAGTGATTTCAATTTCTTTAGTTTTGTATTTTCTGCAATGAATGCATTTCGATAACACTTTCCTATTTTCCTTCTTTTCAAGATAAACAATTTCTCTTGAACATTCATAAGAATGCAGTGTACATTAGTATGAGAGGTATTTTCCATCAATCATTCTGGACCTTGCGCTCTTTCCGATTTCAGCAAAGTCTCGAAGGAACAAGGACACAAGAAGGCAAATCAGCTGGGTCAAGGTCTCCAGGTCCCTTGTTCCCACTACCTCTCAACTATGACCTAAATTTGTTACTATATTTTCGACAAATACTCTCCAATTATCATTCCGTATCCATGCTAGTATTGTAGAAGAGTCAATCGAATAACATCTTGATCCTTTTTTAAGTCCAGAGACTAAGTGCGAGTTGAAATAAGATGGGTTGCTATATAATATGCCATTAATTCCTACATGTTTATTAAGATTAGAAATCTTTTGATTTAAGTTACACCCCCAGCATGCACATACTGCTTTTGCATGTGCAATGCAAGGTGACCATTAAAACATAGCTTCATCTACAAAATGTGTTGTATGACCTTTGCTGATGCTGTTTATTCTTCATTATTTGCTTGTTGCAAGTAGGAAAATACTCGGGAGATGTAAAAATATCTTTGGAAAGGCATGATAATGTTAGTCTATTCTACTTCTATTCATAGTATTTCACAGTATTCTGTTACTTAGAAATGCGAACCTTTGAGGAGAGCTATCAGTAATAATTAAATGAATTAATAATAATAATAATAAAAACTGAAAGCTTTCAGGTTTTACATTACGCCTAAAGGGGCATTTTTTTGACATTTTGTGTATTACATTTATTTACTAAATATCACGTTCTTTGCACTTAAACCATAAAAATTAAATTCAACAGCAATATCACAAAATAATTTTAAAATGAGCCCTATGTTTAGAATTTCCAATACACAGCGCTGGAGATAAAATTATTCCCCTCTCTTATAGTGTTGCCACTGCTCGCTTTGGCCATTTAACCCAAAACTCATTATTTAATCAATCTAATGTTAATGAGATCTTTTGTCACTTAATCAAAAATTTGTTAAAGTTGAATATATGTAATATGAAATCAATAATAAAACAAATTCCAAATTAGGGCTTCCAGATGTCTGAACTGAAATCAAACTGTTACATTATTTTTAATATATTATCTCCATTTATTGCGGGGGGGGGGGACCATGCACTCACATTCTTAATCATTTTCTTTTCCAAGACTTTGAAACTTGCAACTTTTATATCTCATCAAATTTTCTGCTATGCGAAGTCATATTGAAGAAACGTTCATTGTCGTGAAAAAGATGAGACAAGCTGTTTAAAATGACCAAATCTAACCCCCCTTTCCTTCCAAAAAGTGTCATTCATGAATATGTTCATAAATTAAGTGTTAATTACATGGAACAATGGTCACATTAACAAGAAGATTTCTGAGTTTATCACATAAATGAAGTATTAACTATATAAACAAGAGCATTGAGCCTAATTAATTAAAAAAATTATAAAATAAATATGGCAAGCAAACATTTAATGCTATTAAAAGTAAGTGTTAAAAATTTAAAAGTCAATATAATTTATATAATGTATGTTTAAGAAGAGAAGAAGATAGTTCCAATTTGAACCTGCTGGAAATTTCATAACTTTCATCATTGGAAAAAAACAGAGGAATATCTGATTTTAATCAATGATTTTTTTTAATCCGCTGATTAAAATTATTGATTTTTATCACCTGATTAAAGCTATTTATACCCTGAGCAGGATTGTGCATATAATCTTTCCAGATAATAAATCATCATTTTACTTTAAATTTGAAATTGCATTTTATTATTTTGAAAATATATTAATTTTTTGGAGGGGGGATTATATATCATTTAAATAGTATAACATAAAAAGGGTAAAAATATTCAATTTAAACATACTCTTTTATCAGATTCTTCTGAATGCAAGCATCGAACAAAACCAACAGTTCCATTAACTTCTTCAAAGGTTCTAAAACTACCTCGGCTAGGGAAAGGTATCGGAGAGGTAAAACGAACTTTTGTTTTTAAGCTCCAGTCAACTGGAACATATCTGCACTCAATCTTCCTAAGTTGCTGAAAAGAAATATATGTTTCCAATAAGAATATTTAACCAAAAATCTCACAGTGAGTCCTTTTATTAATCTCATGTTGCAATACATATAATTAAAAAAATCTACATGGTAAAAATAATGTTTTCTGCATTAATTGAGCTATTTAAAAACTCTGAGTACAGTCTCGTAAAACAATGTTTTCAAAGCAACAGTGAGATTCATTCTATCATTTATCTTCTATTTTTACATAAATTCACAATTATTCTTTTAAGTCCTTACACTGAAGAAAAATACTCCCCATGAAAATTTTATAATCCAAAAATAATTAGAAATCATGCATAGCCCAATCAGTTAAGAACACCAGATGCCTAATAAACAACCATCAAATTATGTGTCACATATATAAATTATATTTGAGACTTATCCCCTTCCTGTGTTTTAACGAGTCTAACTCGTGATGAAGATTTTGCCCCAAACATCACGAGCCAGACTTGTGAACATTAACACTGTAATTTCATGGCTGTTATCGAATGTTAGTTCCTATCAATACACTACAAGAGTTAGACATGATTCTTTATTATATAAATTATATAATATTTATTAAAATTATATATTAAGAATATAATAAATATTCTCTATTCGTTATAAAAGCAAAGATAAAAAAATAAAATTTAATTTAGAAATTTAAATTCAAAGAATAAAAATAATTATATTGCTGCAAACTAATTTGCAATATCATTTAAATTCTAAGAGCATATGTAAATTAATTACACATATCTAAAACCATGAAAAATATATTATTCTAAAAAACTCACAAATTCTTTATTCATAGAATTTGGAAAAACATAATATGTTTATAATATCTGCAAAAGGCAGAAGGATTAAAGTTTACTTACTTGAAGTAGTAGTTATTTATGAAATATAATTTTGAAACTGTTATTTATTACAAAATATATTTATAATATCTAAGAAGGATTAAAGTTTACTTCCACGCCAGCAGTATCGCTGAAAACGGACTATAACACAGGCATTTACGTTTCGGCTTGTATTGTGACTGTTCTCGAGCACCAGTCTGGCTTGTTTACCATGCGTTGACCCATAACACTTGGGCCCAAGTTTCGTAGAGGTAAATGGCACGGATAGAGGTTATGAAAAGAGCATTGATACATGATATTGTGGAACCCCCCCAAATGATTTATGTATCGCTGTTAGAGGGCGCTTCGCTTCTGAGAAAGAATGTTAATTTTTCAGTTTACGACGTAGTTAGTAGTGAACCATCGATGCAATCCAGGCTGCTTTGTAAATAAAATGATTATTTTTGTAGATTCTTGAAGTACTTAGCTTCATTAGAATTAGATCAACCTTTCGCCATATGGTGCACCATGGCCTGGAACCTTTGGCCAATTTAGAAGTTTGTGTTTTTTAATTTTGGATAGCATTTTATGCGAAGACAGCCAAGGTAAGCCTGTATTTTCTATTTTGATATAATATAGAAGATCATATTGCTAAACTGAAATCAAAACGAAAGGTATTGAGGACCGCAGTGTCCAAGATATTAAAGAAAATTGAAACCGAACTGAGTAAAGATGATATTAGTATAAATGTTAACGTATTAGAAGAAATTTTATATTAAATTAAACGAAAAATCAAAATCCTTGAGCAATTTAGACGCTCAAATAGAACAAGAATTAAAAGTCAAAGCAGAAGAATTTGAACTTGAAATCTCATCCGTTTTGGAATATGAAGAGAAAATTCAAGTGTGGCAGTTTAGAGGAAAGAAAAAGTTGAAAGAATTGAATTGAAAGCTCAAAAATTCGGACAATGCAAGTAGGGACATTTCTAACGAAACTGTTACAGAATCCCAAAAGGAAAGTAACAAATTAACTTGTCTTCCAAAATTAACCATCTCTAAATTTTATGGTGATCCTTTAGATTGGTTAGAATTTATAGGTCAGTTTGAAAATGTGATTGACAAAAAATCCGAATTTATCAAAAATAGAAAAATTAATTTACTTGAAAAGCTTTCTTGGTGGCTCCACCACCAAAGCTATTTCTGGTTTCGCTCTCATCGAAAATAATTACGAAGCTGCTCTTGAACTGTTACGTTCCAGATTTGGTCAAACGAACATCTTAATTAATTTGCATTTAGGACAACTCTTAAGTACTTCACCTGTTAGAAACCCTAATGATATAAATGGATTAAGAAAACTTCTTGATCACGCCGAAGTACAGATAAGAAATCTTGAAGCATTAAAAATAAACTCTGATACCTACGTAAATCTGTTAACGCCTTTAATTTTGAAATTACTTCCTAATGAATTCTTCTTGATTATAGTCGAAAAATTAAAGACGAAAATTGGGATTTAAAAGGTCTGTTAGCCTTTTTGAGGAACGAAGTATTCAGTAGAGAATGCGCTGCTTCTGTTAATTATAACTCTAGAGAGAAATATCCGCGATTGGAAAAGCATCTGCCCTTCAAACCTACACATTCTCCAGCCATAACAAGCAAGCAGTCTACACTTGAGTTATTAGCTAAGTCAGCCGAATCGCAGTGTCAGGTTCTGCGGTGTCTGCAGGTCGGAACGCAAATCATAAATCTGCGGATTGCGAAATTTTAAGTGTGGAAAAAAAGAAAAAAAGAGATTTTGAAACGTGAAGCACTGGTGTTTTTTATGCCTGGGTCGATTTCACAGGAATTCAAAAATTGTAAACAAAAAATTAAACTGTGCCTTCTGCTTTAATAAACAACTCGAAAGCCATTTTTGTTATTCATTCCATCAGAAAAAAGATAATGAAAAACCTGAAAAGAAAACGTCGGATTCGGGCGTTATTTCCGCTGTTTCGTCATATAATTCCGATGAAAATAGATCTAATAAAATATTATTACAAATGGCTTCTGCATTGATCCGAAATAATGATAAATCTGAAAATGTCAGAATTCTTTTTGATAATGGCTCAACGAGATCTTTCATAACTAAAGATGTATCTAATAAAATGGAACTTCCGATTGTTAGAAAAGAATCACTTTCTGTTTATTCCTTTAGTAATAAAACTGCATTAGAAAAAAACCTTTAATGTTGTTAGAGCAAAACTAGAAAATGTTAGTGATCCTAATCTTAATATATATATTGAGTTTCTTCAAACCGAAAATATATCTAATACTGTTATCTCCCCTCCAGATTTAAGAAAAATAAAATTTTACAATTAGCAGACTGTTGTAGAAAAAGTGACAAACTTGATGTTCTCATAAGGGTAGATTTCAACTATTCTATAATTACTGGTAAAATTAAAAGAATTTCAAGAAATGTAGTAGCCACTGAATCTTTATTTGGGTGGTGTATGCAGGGTAAAGTAAATAATGATCGTACTGAATTACAGTCAAAAGTCGTTAATTCGGACACCCATAATCCGGACCTCAAAGCTAAAATCTTTCTGCGCATGCGCCGCGTTGACGCATGCGCATAGGCGTTTACGCGTGCGTGTTGGAAAATATCACTTATTGTAAACCTTTTACTGCATCATCTCTCCCCCTTGAAATATTTATTTAGTTCTTATTTTAATGTAATATAGTAGTTACTTCTACTTCTTTTTCTTGCTGCCACTGTTTGCATTGAGAACGGACTGTTTCAACCTAATTGAGATGTAAAAATGAAACCTGATGTTACGTGATCTGAAAAGCCGATTCGTGCCAATAGCTGATTGGTTGCCGTGAGATGACGTCATTCCTACTTCTGCTATAAGTATCTCGCGTCGCTCTGGCTCAGCCCTTCCAGTTCTCCTTCTAGTTCCTGCTTTCCTGGCACTTGGGTGTGCGGTTTCCAGCCCCTTCAGAAGGATGCATGCAGTCTGGTGAATAAAGTTCCTTAGTTCCTGTTTGCGGGATGGCTGTTCCTGAATAAAGTTCCTTTGGTGCCTGTCGCGGGATGATTGTTTCGGAATGAGTTCCTTGGTTCATATCCATAAGATGGTTGTTCCAGAATAAAGTTCCTTGGTTCCAGAGATTTCTACCATGTGAGTGACTGCCGTGGGCGGCATCCATGTTCTTCAATGAAGGCTGGCATTTAAAATACGTGAGCGGCGATTCCTCGTGCAAACGGAGTTAGGCCGGTTTTAAGTGCTTTCAAGAACTTCATTTAAAATTTCAGGTGTTTTCTCAACCATTGATTATGGACGTTTTGAATGTGTAGCCAACTTCATTTTTAGGCCGCATAATTAATGTTTAGGACATTTTTGTTTGTATTGAATGCCAGTGTTTTGGATTGGACAGTTATGGCAGTAAAAATATTATGATTGTTTTATAATAGACCAGGTAAAATATTATTTGATGAATGATGGTTATATTATATTTTTCCTAAGACTCTGATATTGTTGAAATTTATTTTCTGTGTTTTTATTCTTTATTATATTGTTAATAAATTGGTTAAGTTTCAAAACCTTTTATTGTCTTCAATGTCTGCACAACATATATCTCAGGGAGCTTTTATTGCTACTACTGCTAAATGTTTAATTTTTTTTAAACTTTAAACTTTGCTTTAGCATCATTTTGGTTATGGGCCAAGCCCCTGAGTTATTTTAGTGCAGACTTTTGAAGTTTAAGTTAGTTAATTTAGGACTTAAGAGATTGGGGGGCGGTTTTTGTTTAAAATTCAAATATGGCTACTGTTAGTGTCATGCATAATATTGCTAAACTTGATGCATGTAATTACTTTTACATGGTCCAAAGATATGAAGTTGTGTCTTAAATGAAAAAATGCATGGCTTTTGGTCAAAGGTATTGAAAAATGTCCTGATTTAAATGATGTTAAGGGTATTACAAAAGAAATTATTGCCGACTATCAAAATAGAAGTCGATTGGCATTATCGTTAATTTATATGAATGTAAGCCCTGAATATAGAAACTTGATATGTGAAATTGATGACCCGGTAGTGGCATGGAATACGCTTGCCAAATACTTTCCAGCCAGATTATCGGTCAAGACATATGTCCCTGTTTTCAGAGTTCTTAAATTGTAAAATTAAGCC